CGCCTGTCTTGTGTCAGACTTATACCACATGTTGAAAATGCATTTGTGTCTTCACTGAAGCTATTTCTGTTAAGAGAAAGCTATCATCCAGTGTACAGACTAAATCTTAATTATCATTTGAAGAAAAAATAAAAGATGCTGGTCAGTCAAAAAGCAAACAGTGTTCATTGCAGGCAAAGTGAAGCACATTTACAAAGAGTGCTCATGTTACAGTCATAAGGAGCTCTATACAACCAAATTCGCCTTTATCTCGGATGGGAACTCAGGCTCAGAGACATCAAGTATGTCAACAAGCACCTGCAGCCTCTGGGATTGTATCCCTGACACCACACTTTTGATCCAGAAATCTCATCTCTGAAGGAAGGTGGAGCTTTTCTTCAGTGTTTCTTCACCGGCTGTCACATCTGACATCTACTTAATTCATACACATGGTATGGAGTCAAATTTACCCCTTTTCTCAGAAGGAATAAAAATTTCAGTCCCTTTTGTTGCCTCTATTACTATAAGTGATTCCTGAGCACCGAAATCCTTTGGAAAGACTATGTAGGTTCTACTAATTCTCTAAAATGTTCAGGGATTTGAATACATCTTGAGCCAAAGAAACAAAATCCCTGTTTAGTATTTTCACTCAAACTAAAATTCAGCAAAATATCCTATAGCAAAGCCTCTGTCTGAATTCTTCTCTACTAGACTCATTTTCTGGAGAAAAATTCCAAACATAGACTATTATTAACCCAACCAATAATCCCTCCCATTTCTCATGCACTTCCTGTTTGATGTTTGTTTACTTGATAAAACCATGCAGGGAAAGTATTCCAGTTTGTTAACTCTCATTCACTGCCTGTTGGGAAAATCCTCTGTGTATTTTAATGATAAGAGCCATTTCCTTTACATTTTTATTATAGAGGTCTCATTATTTGCTTTCTCTTGGACTTTGTTACTCTAAAGCACTGTAGAATTTCTATGATAGATCTGCATGCCTGGAAAGATTTGCTAAATCCATAGATCATGTACATGAAGTCCCAAGCTGGGACAATCTCCCACTCCTGCCCCTTCTCCTCTAACCCTTTCTAAGGGAAATCTGCTTTGGGAGAGTCCACTCTGTTGGAGGAATGGCAGAGCAACGTGCAGCAGGAGCTCCAAGGGAATCACTGTGCCTTTCAAGGAATCCCTGGTATTCAACTTCAAGACCTGTTGCTTTTTGCCTTGTGGTCCATGGCTTCCATAAAACAGTAGAGGTAACAAGCTCTTATTGTGCTTTCTGATCTTGCCTTTGCTTAATTGAAAACTAATTCTATCACTAAAATCTTGCATTGTTTTTAAATGTCTTCAAACTTTTGCCCATATTGGTTCTTTTGTTCATTACTCCCTCTCCATTTGCCTATCTAGTGTCCTGGGTTTCATTGTTGTTGTTGTTATTATTATTATAAAAACAAACAAACAAACAAGAAATCTTTATATATCTCCTACTCTAGGAAATCTTCCTTGATAATATTTCCTCTTCAAATATGCATGGTGATTAAAAATGATTGAGTATATTAAAAAGCCTTATTCCATTGTATTATAAACAATATAAAAGCATGGTAGAAACTGATTATTATCACAACAGAAAACCCAGTTCCTAATGACTTTCAGGTGAATTCTGCCAAATATTCATGGATTTGATGATAACGTTTGTTTACGATTATTTATAAGTGTTACTTCATTGCTAAAAATAGACAAGGGTACAAGACAGGGAAATTATAGGTCAATATCACATGCAAAATTTCAAATAAAATATTGTTGAACAAAATACATTAGTATTAAGAAAACCATAAAAATAATTTATCAAAAATAACAGATTTATTCTGGGACTAAAAGAGTGGTTTCACACAAGAAACATATATTTTATCCATTAATTTTAGATATTAGGAGAAAAAAATAATGTAATGAAATTCAACATCAATTATAATAAAATCTTTTATAAAACTGAAATTAGAATGAAGTTTCCTTAATCTTATTTAAAGTATATCCATTCTGCCTTCTTGAAAAATAAAGTACAGAAAACATCAATATATATAATTTCACTTATCAATTAAAATTTATTTTTCAAAAGTATAGAAAATATCATTCTTTATGGTAAGCAATTTACTAGCATCCTCCTACCCTCCAGTATTGATAACAAGAAAAATTTCACTATCATTACATCTGATTAGCATTATCTTTACAACACCAGCAATTATAGAAACATAGGTATGTAAATAAAAAGAAGAAAACAAATCAGTCACTATTTATAGATGTCTGCCATAAAAAATAATTCTTGAATACCTATAAATAAAACAATAAATTTAGTTTTATTTTAAATAGGTAAGAAAAGCAGTTGAGATAAAAATTCATACTAAAATCAATCTTATTTCTATAGAACTGAAATAGAAATATAGAAAAAGAAGATAATATTTATACTAGCAACAAAATTTAAGTTTGTGGTAATAAATTTCACAAAATATACATACTATATTTATGGGAAGAATACATGACTCTCATAATGAACATAAAGGAATGTCAAAATAAATGGAAAGAAATACCATATGCATGTATGAGAAGGTTCAACATCATGCCAGTGTTATTACAAAGTGATTGATGGGTACAGCGTAATTCTGATGAAAGTCCAATTAGTTCTTCCTTAGGAATTTAATGAACTTATTCTTAAATACATGTGAAAGATATAAAGGCCCACAATCGCTAGAAGAAATAATATAAGATGTGCTGAAAACACTCTCTACCAGATATTAAGACATATTTAAAGTTTGGTTATGTAAGATTGTGCAGTGTTAGTATAGACATGGACAAATAGACCAATTGAATAAAGCAGAATTTTTAAAAAATAAAATCCACTAATATGCTAAAATTGTTTCATGAGGGATGACACTGCAGATCAGAGAAAAGGAAAAATTGTTTGGCATGTGACAGTTACATAATTGTTCATTATTTAAGAAAAAAGTATAAATTGATCTCTATTATATACCATATCTAAGAGAGTCAAAAGAGGAAAGACTAAAATGAGAAAGAAATAATTCAAAACTCTTAAAGAATATAGAAGACTCCCATTATAGCTAGTAGTTTCAATAGAAACAAAACCTGTTCAGCATAAAAATAAAGATTGTTTTTAAGTCTATTTAAATTAAGACCTCATGTTTATCAAAAAATGACCCTAAGAAATCTTCAATTTATTTAACTGCACAGATGTCTACCCAGAATATATTGTAACAAACAAGAATGTACACATACATACACTCAAAAACAATGGAGAAAAACCCATTTGACCTTGCTGAAAAGTTTGTAAGGCAAGAACATTTCATAGAAGCACAGTAGACAAAAAATTAAAATTAAAAAGATGCATGATTGTCATAGAAAAACAAATTAGACCATGATAAGTGCTTCTTTTTTACCTTTGGATAGATTAGCAAAATATAAGGAATGATGACCCTAACAAAGTACAGGTGAAGCTTTGAATAAAGAAAATTTACCTGATGCTTAGGGTTAAGTGGCACATTCACTTTGGAAAACTCTCCAAAACATCTTTTAAAAAATAATCATAAACACATCCTATAATCTGGCATCTCCATTTGGCTGCACAGTTTAGAATAGGCCCTAGAGAAATGCATGCTTATGGGCCAAGGACACATGTCGAGGAAGGCCCAGCAATGCCTGTAGCAGTAAATTACTCCATAAGAAGGTGGGCTCAGAGCCTTCCGCTCTGTTGCTATGTGTCTTGACTTATATTTATGTTACATGTTTTCCATCAAATTATCAAATACTGCACTATTTAAAATATTAAAATGTAAAAAAAGTCACGACATACAAAGGGCATAAATAACATTCTAAGGGACTTCAGAAGAGAACATCACTATAATAGTGTTTTCAAGATCATGAGAGCAAGGAAGTTTATATATGTACGTTAGCATTTTCAACAGGCCCTGAAGGAAGTATTATTCATTATTTATACCTTGCCCTGTTTTTCCAAGGAGTTAAAATTGCTTATAAAAATTTTTATGAAACAAAATTAAAAAATAACAAGGTACAGACATGAGTGTTTAAAAAAAATAATGAGTAAAAACAAAAGCAGGGAAGGCCTAATACCATATCAGAATTTATAGTATTCACTTAAGTTTTATTTATGTGGGGGAATGCAAATGAAGACAACCGGTGCTATCAGTAACTATATTAATGGTAATAAGTCAGTTAAAGGGGAAGACCAGGGACTTTCTTTTGTTGTTGCTTATTGGCTTGTGCTTTGCTTTTTTCTGGCACTACATTTTTAAAGGAGATATTGTGAAGAGTGGCAATGAAGACCATTGTGAGTAAGAATAACAGAACCCAGGTGACAACCCAAAGTGAGAAAATAGGGAAACACAGATGTAATCAGGATGCTTGATGGACATCAAGGGTCCCAGGGGACACTGGGATCAGACTGAAAGGAACAGTGGAGGGAGTGAGTTCTCAGTGTGTTCCCTGAGCCAGAAGCATCAGTACCTCCAGGGAACTTATAAGAAATGCTACCTCTTGTCAACTCCCCAGTTCTACTGAATCTGAAACCCCATGGATGTGGTCTAGGTAGCTGTTTTAACAAACCCTCCAGATGGTTCTAATGTGTAGCTAATGGTTGAGAACTTCAAGGACATGAAATTTGGCTTCTAAGACCATATGTAATAGAGGGCCAGTGAGGTATTACTGTCTAATCCTAACCCTCCTTTAAGTTCTCATCCCCCTGTATCCCACTGTGCAAGGAGAATGTCCTGCTTCTGATACCAAGAAGGGGAACTATGAGCCAAAGTAGATACCCTGGCTTCTATTTTGAGATTGCATCCCAATCTTAAAAGAAAACTCTAGAGCAGAATTTTCCAAAAATCAGCATTTTAAATTTTTTCAGCTGAGTAGCTCTTCAGTATGGGGGCATTTCTCATAGTAGACCCACTTCTTTTCTGTCTAGCTTTCCACTGTTTCAGTTACCCATGGTCAATAGCAGTCCAAAAATAAAGTACAATACAGCAAGATATTTTGAAAGAAAAAGAGTACATTCACATAAATTTTATTACGGTATATTACTATAATTATACTATTTTGTTATTAGTTATGGTGCTAATCTCTTACTATGCTTAATTCATAAACTTTATGAAACATATGTATGCATGTATGTGTAGAAAAGTAATGGAGAGAGAGTTGAGTAATATCTGTGGTTTCAGGCATCACTGGTGGTCTAGAAATGTGTTCTCCAAGAACAAAGGGGAGACTATTGTATAGGCAGCCCTCTGCCCTGATATAACAGAGTTCTCTAATTCTCATCAACAATCCACTTTATATCAAAATTAATTTAATGATGGCTTTTAGTATTGTTGTTGTTGACAGAGAAAGAAGCACTTCCCCCATAAAGGCAAATATGAAATTTTAAAAGTGTGGTGTTTAAAATGAAAAAAACAAAAATCAGTAGTCCTCTTTCCTGTCTAAATCTCTAGAGTGTTGTAAAACCCTTATCGGTGCAGCAGCCCTGTAAGGAAGAAATGCACAGTAATTCCCAGGCAGCATCCTCACAGAATTGAAGTTTGGTCATTCTAGCATCCTCACAGGTTTCTGAAACAACAAGCAAAAATAGAAACAGCTTGAAAAAAAAGAAATTTTGAGGAGGAATATGTCATCAAACTAAACTTTGAGAATTTGTACACAGAGAGCCTGAAAATTTTCTGTATTTAAGATTAGTGATAGAAGAAAAGTACTCAGGACATCAGTGTCTGGAAAAGGATTGTACATGGAACCCAGAAGACACATTGCATTGGAAGCAACACCAGGCAATGTAAATCAGAACCAAGATATTTTTGTAAACATTTCCTCTTAGCTTTTCCCAAATATTTAAGATCAATGTTTCACAACTGGGCAACTATTAATATTGGGAGCAGAAAAATTCTTCCTTGCAGAGGGTGGGTTCAAATCGAATGTTTATCTCTTCCCACTCTGCACAATTCTGGCATTATAATCCCCTCCCCCAAGAATGTTAGCACCATGAACAAAAACAACAGCAACAAAATAAATAAACAATCCCTGAATATCTACTGCTTCTTGCTGGGAAGCACCACCCTATTTGCAAACCACTAATTTTAGCTATATCAGTATTCTTTTCAATGAGTAAATGTGTGGGAACTAGTCCATTGTTAGATCAAACATTATTTGAGATTCACTCAAATAATGTTTGATCTAACAACCTCTAAAGAAGAGAAACACTTTACCTATAATTTAAAAGTACCTGAGTCCCATCAGTCAACCACCACTTATAGTCAAGATTCAGGAAGGTAGTCTGCTATGTGTGAGCACCAAGGCTCCACTGCCCCCAAACTCAAGATTGATATCTGGAGAAAGTCACCATCCTTTTGCCCATTATCCTGATACGATTCCTAAGCGTCATCTTATTGTCTTCTCCGTTTACTTCAGGACCTAAAGAGTCCATTTCAGCGTTTTTATTCCATTCCATCCAATCCCAATATAATCAATCACAAGGCAAATTCAGTGAAATTCTGCTTATACTCATTATAGTTGTGAGGTTAAGCTTTTGAGTATAAAACGATATACTAGATGTGGCGTGGATCTCAAGACAATCATAATCTAGTAGCAGATAAACTCATGGGATTAACAAATAGTTAGTATAGAATATGACAAATACTAAACGAGATGACTGTAAAAACTCATGACAACAGACAAAACCTATACCCTGCTCACAAAGAAAGCATTTTAGAAGATACTCAAATAAATGCTAAATTCTGAATGCTAGGTAGACATTCATCACATACACGTAGGGAGATGTTTCCTAAGTATGTTGATTAGCACTGTGGGGACTAAGAGTTGTTTTGTTTTTGTTTTTGTTTTTTTTACTAACATAGATCATGAAACAAACAAATAAAAAATAATCCCTATTAAGAAGAGGAGAGAGTAGTGGGAAACTAGCTGAGGGACAGAATTAGATTTGGTCCATTTAGGAACTAATATGTGTGAGATGATAATTTTAACCAACTGCTTAAAACTCTCAAATGCATCTCCATTACTACAGAACTACTCAGCAATTTAAAAGAATTGACATGAAACACCATGAATGGAACTCAAATTAACTATGCTGAGTAAAAGAAACCAGGTAAAAGAACAATATATTTAGTATTATCTCATTTGTCTACAACTCTGCAAAATATCAACTAGTGTACAGTGACAGAAAGCATATCGGTTGTTTCCTGAAGATGTAAGTGAGGTTGGCAGCTATGGTCAGGAGAGAGAGAGATTACCAAGGGTACAAAGAAGACTTTAAGGATGATGGATATGTTCACTATCTTTACAGTGGATGGTTCCAACATATATTTATTTGTCAGAGTTATGAAATTAAATGTTGAAAATGTATCATTTTTTGTGTGCCAAAGATACTTTAATAAATTTGTCAAAAACCAAAGAAATAAAGGGTATTATATGTCTGTTTGGTTTTTTTTGTTGTTGATGTTTTTGTTTTTACTTTGTAAAAGCTCTGTTAAAATCCACATAGAGCTCAAAATAGAAGTTTCCTTTTGGAGCGGTGTAAGAACTGGGTAATAAGGGCCCAGGGGAGAAGGATATTTTTTTTCATATTCCTCTCAATTTAATTAATCATTAATTAATTAATAATTTAATTAATTTATTGAGCACTTTTTATGTGACAGATACTACTATTGGCATTAAAGTTGCATTAATAAACAATACTAAAAAAGCCTACAATTCTTAAGAGGTTTACAGAATTATATAATTGCCACATAATTTATTAAATAGAAAAAACATGCAGTTTAACATTTTTTATTAAAATGTTTATTTCAGAAATCATTCATTTTAATTATGTATATGAATATGTTTATGTATTGTGTATGTGTGTATATATATATATATATATATATATATATATACACAAACATACATATATATGTGTGTGTGTGTATATATATATATATATATATATATATATATATATATATATATACTGTATGCATGTATCATGCATATAGATATTTCCTCTTTTTGGATCTTTTTTCTGACTTCTTACTTTTTCACCTTTTTTTATAAAAGCTAATATACTTGATAATATACTTATTAATAGAGCATTTCAATTTAACAATGTTCTTCTTGTGTCACTTCTATTACACTTATTTTTTAACTAATACATAAAAACTGCAAATGTTAATGGAATAACATATTTCCAATGCATGTACAGATTTTGGAATGTGTAAATCAGTTTAAATATATCTCTACTAAAACATTTATCACTAGCACATGGTGAGAACTCTTTAACTCCCTTTTTGTAGCTTTTGGAAACATGCAGTACTTTTGTATTATCTATTGTTATCCTATACTGCAATAACACACCCGAACTTCTTGCTACTCTCAGATGTAACTTAGCACCCATTGGGTGAAGGACATTACCCCAGGGCAGATCTACAGTACCTTCTCCTTTGTGGAGCTTCTTAAGCTCAGATGCACACAGGGCAAGCTCCTTGTGTGTCCTACAAAGTCTCCTTCATGCTCCAATTATTAAACAGGTAAAACTTCATCTGTTATTGACATATGTGCCTCTTTCACTTAATGAAAGCCAATATTTGTGTATTCTGAGCAATCATCAGTGTCCAACATATTGCTATACACATAGTGAAAGAAGTAATACAACATTTCTCAGTCTCAGTCCATTCTTCCTGACATTAATAGCTGAGAGGTGGATGCTGTTGTGCCAACTCCAGTCCACCACACCATGATTGGCCAGCTGCACTGTATTGACCAGGATTCTAATTTCCTGGATCCAACAGGAAATAGCCATGTCTTCCATAGATTTCCTAGGGATATATGAAGACATAGGTGCCATATTTGTGACTTCTAGATTTAAGAATGTATAGTTAAACTATTATAGAGAATACTTCAAATAGAAAGCTATTGATTATTTTCTAGAATGTGTATAGCTTCCACCCCCCCCCATATTTGCTATTTTGGGTGCTAAAATTAAGTCATCTTTAACCTTTCCTTATGTAGGGAAAAAAGGAAATCAGTGACAGATCCATGGCTCTATAAAAAGTGAATATTAAACTGGGGGGTGGTTGGGAGATGAGAAAAAGGAAACAGAGAAACAGAGAACTTAATTGAGGCTGGACAGAAAAATTTGAGGCATAAGAATTCTCCCCTGAAGTACAGGTGCCGGAGGTCAGCTTCTGAGAGGAACATGCCCTGCATGCTGTGCTTCATGAATATGGGAATTTCATTCACACTGAGTCAGTCAGAAAGAAGAGGATGCGTAGACACCAACAGGACAGAGAATTTAGTGGAAGCACAAAGAAGACAAAGGCGAAAGTGACTATAAATACCTAGATGCTACACAAACCCTAGAGAAGCAATGGATTTGCATTAGATCTGAGCAGGGAGTAAAGAGAATGTCTTTAAAGAAACAAAACTTTAGGATGATCGGGGGTTACAAAGTACATAATACGATCCTGGAGTTATTTATAGATTACAATGAATTTCTAATGACTATTATTGAATTTCTATGATGGTTCTGGAAGATGAGCAGGTCAGAAACTATTATTCTACTGGGGGAAAAAAAAAACTGAGGTTCCTAGCCCTTTAAAATCACACTGGAGCCAGTGAGTAGAGGAGGGATAATGGGCCCACAGGTCTATCTGCTTCTTCACTCCTCCCTAGATCTTTGCTCTTCTCATTTGCTTCCATTCTTCCTTCTCTCCTTCCTCCTCACCAACAGCAATTTCTGTCATGAGACTGAGTATATGTGAATCTTCAGTTAATAATTACAATCCTGTACCCTTAGCATCATGGTTTTGAATACACAGCTGCAGAAGAAGCTATAGAAGTAAAGAAGATGAACCACATTTCAATAGAAAGAACATGTCAATATGTAATTTACTTTTTTGAAACAAATATGTAATATAAACATACATGTTGTCTTTGATTTCTTTTTCTTTTTTTGCCTTGGGGATTAAAATTAAGCACAGTGAGAAAATCTGATGCTATGAGTCTGGCTTATTTAGGCTTAATTGCTTATACTTTAACTATGATGGAACTCCCCAAAGTTTTCTATGTACACATCAGTATACTAGATTCTGCAAATACTGTGTATGATTTTAAACTAAAACCAAAGAGTTCCCCCCACACACCTTTTTTTTTTTTTTTTTTTTTTTGGTTGTTTGGCTTAGGAAATTGCATTTAGAAAAACCCCTTTGGCCAGAAACACTGTTGTACTCTAAATGGGAAACTTGTATCTTTCTTGATAAAGACAATTTTTTTTTCTTTCTGTGTGGAACTAAACTATTCTCTAATTCCCCTAGTGGGACTTGAATTAATATAGTAGAACAGAGTTTACCCTCAACAGCTGCAACTTGCACCTGTGCAGTATTTTTTTTAATCCTTTTTCACTGCAGTGTGATAGAGAAAAAAGCAGGGGAAATGCTTTATGGGATCTTCCAACTGTGATGCTTAATGTATTATTAGGAACAGAAATCCTCAGTGGGATTTAACCATGCCTACTAGGAATTAGGCTTAGGGAACCAAATATGAAAAGTATATAACATTTTTTTCTA